GTGTGTGTGTGTGTGTGTGTGTGTGTTGTGTGTGTGTGGTGTGGTGTGTGTGTGTGTGTGTGTGTGTGTGTGTGTGTGTGTGTGTGTGTGTGTTGTGTGTGGTGTGTGTGTGTGTGTGTGTGTGGTGTGTGTGTTGTGTGTGTGTGTGTGTGTGTGTGTGTCGGGTCTTCTAACCAAAATGGTAAGTTGTTACGAAGTCAAGTTTTCGGGGCTTATGACTCGTCAAAATAGACTACCTAAACGTAAATAAACACATATTAAGTGAACCAACTTTTTTTGCTCCTGACTAAGTATGTGCGCAGTTCCCAAGTGACGTGCCTAAACCTGTCAGACGGTACGCATTCTTGTTTTGTTGGGTATTGTCTATGCTAAATTATTCAATTTCATCCGTGTCGACTAAAAAGACAATAAAATAGTGTTTAGGAATTACATATGTTAAGTAATCGAGATAAAAACCAGAGTTAGTTCAGCACTTTCTTAATATAGCGTAAGAAAATCTACACTTTACGAGGTAACGATCAACGATTTCCGACAACCACGACCCTTACTGCCTAAAAGACCAATTTTTCTTCGGACGATACTGATTTTTACTACGTTCACTCTATTGGTAATTTGGTTTTTGCGGTTCAACACGCGGGTTTTGGGGCTTTGTTAACTAATTTATCGAGGTCTCTCGAACTGGATGTGTTTCCTGTAACTAAATATTTTTTAATAGTGAGCGCAAAAACTAACAAGTGTCGGGTAATAGAAAATGCATAAACTAATATAGGGGGGAAGGACTTACATATACCTTACATACTGATTAAAGAGGTTACTTTTTGTAATGAAGTATAAAATTCAAAATTACCAATCGTCTTCAATTCTCTTCGAATATTTACGAATTTGTAATAAAAGTCTATAGAGTGCATTCATGTCGGGTCAATCAATTAGAGAAATTTTTATTTACAAACGTTAATGTATCTTTTGAGAAGGTTATTTAAGTAAATATGACCGTTTTATTCTCTTTACAAGACTCAAACTCTCTGGGTAAACCGGGACATAGTCTTTGGTCCCGTGGCACCTCGTCGAACCGTGGTCACTGCTCGTTACTACGTCTATTTCGACATAATGAGTGCCGGAAAGTGTGACTCTGTTGACAAAGTCCCGGTTGCGAATAGTCTGTCGTCGGTCTGTCCGGTGTAGTTCGTCTCACAGAAAGAAACTAGACTTCACGAGATAATTCGCAACACACACACCCGAGCCCGACGCAGACTATCGCACGGGACGGACTTTGTCACAGCACTTCCGCACTCATTATGTCGTGACGTGTCGAGAGGAGGTTCGACGGTGCCGACGCGCACGCCAACACACACACACGCGAGAACTTTATATTGTTTCGACGAGTGCAGGTCCTAATTACCGAAGTCCTCCATGATCCCAGTAGATCTAACTACTTTGCAGTCCGCTTCGTTTGACTTGCAGTACCTTTGTCCAGTGTCAGAATAAACGGTGATTTCTTTTATACTACGTATAATGCGGTGTAATCACCGATCTCGTCTCACTCAGGAAAATTCTTGTAGTAAATCAGCATTTTACATCCGCATTCAATAATTTGTACAACGAATGCCCACTAGTGTAGGTACAAGTTTCAGTTCGACCCAATGTTTTACATATACACAGTATGAAGCCACAGTTTGTTAGTAGATATATTATGATCTAACTCTAGCTCACTCTCTAAACGAGGTAAATGAACTATACAATCTACTGTCGTCCCTTTTCTGTAACGTCTTATGTTTAAATATACTGTTATGAGTAATCTGAGTCTCAATTGTATACAATTATTTTACATTACAGTTTTTTGAGTGCAATTTTTAGTTTTTTTCCACACTCATCGTGTATCTTGTTGCCTAAAATTACGCCTATCACTATAAATCATTCCGTAGATACTAATTTGTTACTGCTAGTACACTAAACTCGTATCCGACTGAGGAGCACTATCGTCTTTTCAATTCTAATTTGCTAGACGGTATTTCGTTTTTTCCTCCGTATTAACTGATAGAAGTGTAAAGGTAATATTTATATTTTTTTTTTGGAAGGGCGAAGGAACATAATTACGTGATAAAGAAACCATCTCCCGTCGTCTTTATATGTTTTGTTGAATTACTTGTTAAAGACGTTCATCTAATTGTAAATGAAACATGACGTTTGTTTGTCATTACATTGATTTATTTGATAAAATATTTAAGTCGAGTATATTAAGTTTGAGATTAAAGACTTCTTTCACCACCGTTGTGTTCCACATCTGATATTTTATTTTACGGATTGTCTCTCTTTTACACTTAGTCACTTTGTGTGTGTGTGTGTGTGTGTGTGTGTGTGTGTGTGTGTGTGTGTGTGTGTGTGTGTGTGTGTGTGTGTTGCCCTCAGCGATGAATACAGGACTCATTAGAATTGCTGTCATGTCGCAGCACTGCCTGCAGCCTTTTTTCTTAAACCCAGTGGAGCGGTTGGTCAGATTTTACCATCCCGGAGTACCACTCAAGATTAGAACGTCTAAAATACCTCACTCTGTTTCCTGTTCGGCCCGTTTCAATGTTTGAAACTGTTCTTCAGAGGGGAAGAGATGTGTGGAAACACATTACGTTTTCAGAACCTCTTTGTAAGTACTTGGGAAGGATCCTTTAAATAGTAATGTTACTCTAATTCAAGATCTGTTTTCAGGTACAATTATGGAATAACACTGTTTTGATTTATCTTTACAAGGATTACCATCCCTAAATATGTTTTGAGGAATTTTAAGAAAAGGTCAACCTTGGATTAACTAAACATTTGTGTCTATAATGGCTCTATTCTTTTGCCTGTTTTACTCATCAAACAGGCATAGAGAAACATAAGTATTCTTTGGGCGAGGCGTGCTTCTTGCCAATGTTCAATTTCACTTTTGTGTGGCTCTGGTTTGATCACCAATATATGCAGAGGAACATATCTGTATTTTAAACTGCTAGATGTCCACTGTATTAACCAGCTATCACTTAATGTGTCAGTCTGTTGTTGGTGATCAATGGGTAGCATACTGTCTTGTAGCTTATTGACAAATACATATACAAACAGCATACAGCGGGTTTGTCAGAGCTTTTTCTAAAGATAACTTTCGTAAAGTAGTACAGCGGTGAAAATGCAGCAAAGCCACAAGTCAGAGACGAACACAGGCCAAGTGCTCAATGTATACTAAGTAGTCCATTGAAAGTAGAGATTATATAAAAAAACACGATAAAAGTTTTTGTATACCTGAAGGTTACTGCAGTGTTGTGTGATTATTGTTATACTCTATACTACTAACCCTTTTCAATGACACCTTCTGCTTCATGATGTCAAAATGATTGATTAGTGCATCTTTAAAAACCGGTCATCTGCCAACAGACCAATTTTCTGAAGAGCTCAAGTGAAAAAACATTTAACCTACTCCAAGCTGTTAGAAATGGCATAATGACTCTGTTTGCTCAGCAGCTTTGTATAGCATGTTGGTGCAGTGCTTATGCAAATACATACCGTACAATACTATATACATGGAGAACAAATGATCCGGAAAGACCATCCGGTTTATTTCTGGGAAGCCCCTCTCTTCCAGGAAGTAGAGGGACACACTTAGCAGCAGCACAATGATGTTTTTATGTGACAGGTGTTAATGGGATCCAGAGAACACGCAGAAATACTGTGTGATTAATAGCATCATGCTAGTGGTGGTGAGATCTTGGTTCAATTTATAGCCTGCCATGAGGAATGACCTTGGCCTTTTTTGAGTGTACACTCACTTTCAAAAGCAAACGTAAACCAGTTATATGATGTACATTAACTTCATGTGGAGGATGACATGGTGCTTTTAATTTTAAGGTATATTTTTCCTTTACTGTATAAACAAATAGTATACTCTGGGAGGAATTCTGAGATACTAAATGTGCATGTGTGTGTGATCTCTGGAAAGTGCCCCACTTTCCGCCTCCTCTGATGCTCCATGCCTCAGTGATCACAGAGCTGTTGTGGGACGGGCATTCTCTCCAGGCGGCTGTCATTATTATTCAGGACCCGGGAAATGATTTTCACAAACTGTCCTCTGACAGCTGAGCAGAGGCTGGGGTTAAATTGGCTACAGACTCACTTGGCTCTGCTGCCCTTCTGAAGAACATATCAGTAGGAGAAACTAGTAGGTCAATGACAGATAAATGAGGTGTCAAAGAAAAAGTTAATTTTAGCCCGCACGCTGTACAACAATTTCCAATGACGTAATAGCATATCCACCCAGGAAGAAATATATACCATGCTTTATTTTCTTTCAGACTGCTGCATTAAGATTGCCTATGTTATAATGTGACATTACTGTGGCTACATTAGAGCTGCTATTGGTGTGCTGTTGACCTCGGGAATAGAGCCAAGGTAATTTTACACATGAGGATGAGGTCATAGCGCTATATTTGGCATAGACAAAATGTTACATATACATACAGTATGTTTGCATATTAGCATATGCCAAACTGAGAAATAGCTGCATTTAGATGTTTTGATTTGATTGAGCTGAGAGCGTTTGTGACAATTCAGAGACTGTGGACAATGTGTGGCCCCTGGTCTTGGCAGGGCAGGATAAGCTCTGTCAGTCTCATGTTGTGAGGCGAAGGGCTGTGACATTTAAATCTGTCCCGCTGAGAAGGACGAGTTTGTGTGTGTCTTTCTGTGTGTGTCACTGTCTTTCTTTTTGTATGTTAGGGCAGCAGGGGTAAGAGTTTTGGAGAGGGGCTTGCAGAAAATGTTCAAAATGTCATGGCTTTTTACACTGTTTCACTCTGAAAAGGTGACTCTCTCTCTTTCTCTCCCCCCTTTGTCTCTACTGGCTCTGTCTATCTTCCTGTCCGTCTCTCTGTCTCTGTCTCTCAGATAAGTTGTTTGGAAAGCGGCTGCTGCAGGCTGGGAGACACATCATGTCTCATAAGTCTTGGATGAAGACGGTGCCCACGGAGAATTGTGATGTCCTCATGACATTTGCAGGTCAGGCACTTATAAATGTTCACAAATTTGTATTTCTATATACTAATTTCATATCCTGTTAACCCTGGCCGAAATTATTTTGTGATTACAACTTGATGGCCCAATCCCAAACCGCCCCCTACACCCTACCCCTACATACTACCCCTCCGTTTGCGCGGAGGGTCCGCCACATTAAATGCTGTTCCAAACCAACGAGTGTGGAGCGGTGTGGAGGGGGAGTGGGCTATCAAGCCATCAAACAGCGAGTCTGCAGCGGTGCTGACTGGAGACCGGTCTCTACCTGACCGGTCTCAACGCTGTGTGTGTCCGTTAGGAAACACGCTGTTAACAAGTAGTTCCAGCAAACATCCACTGATAAACTGCGATGTTAACAACCTCATGATAACCTCATACTATATGTTTTAACTTAGGATCATACCTGTGTTTAGTCTAGAAAAAGGTAAATGTTTGCATTTTATTATAAAGTTGTGTCTATTTACAGACTGTTGCAAAAACTAAGAAGCTTATAAAAATCAGGTTTAAAACTAAAAGAGACAATAACACAATTAAAGATGTTTGGAGTTTTATTTGAGTTATTAATTTAAATGTTTTGTCTAAGAGATGCTGATTTGAAACCGTTGTTACGGCATTTCCTGTGTCTGCCGGAGAGAGGGGAGTTTGTCCCAAAGCTTGCCGCTGTATTTACTCCCTCCATCTGACAGGAGGGAGCCTCGTTGAGCTGCGAGTGTCACTCCACAGAGTTCACTCCGTCACGGAGGGGGAGTGTGTAGGGGTAGGGTGTAGGGCGTGGTTTGGGATTGGGCCGATATTAATCAAGATATGCTAAAGAATTACTTTACCCTGAATGTTGTTAAGATACAGACAATGTATTTTATCACAGAAAGCACACACATTGTTCAGTAAACATATTTTTAGTGAAAAATAATAATAAAACTCTAAATAAGGTGGACATTTATCACAAGGTCCTGACAGATCTTTCTCACTTGATAATTTCAGTATTTTGAAATAAATTGGGCTCTAATTCTCATTTCTCTACCAAAAGAGCAAGCTAGGCAGCTTTTTCAAATTGTTCGTGTTTGTGATAATTGGATATTTTCATTATTTTCTAGAACCCCAATTAATAATTTGTAATTGTTGCTGAAAACTTAATTTAAGCTCAAATGTATATTAGGTTTTTATTTTTCCGCTAAAGAACAGCCTGAACGCTGAACAGTGGATCAACACAGTTATATAATGTGGATAATAAAGATAAGGATCATGACAGTATTGATCGTACTTCTTCATTTCTTTTCCTTCGCCATAGCATGAAGGTCGCAGAAGCTTTTTATGGCCAGATTTATGCAGCAGCTAAGAAAGCAGAGAAGAAGTCATTCTGTGTTGTTTGTTATTACGACTCTTAACCTCCAGCTGCTGCTCAGCAATAAATAGTACAGGTATGTGGGAGTACTCCCTGCAGCTCGTGTTTACGGTGATGCGTGGGCCTAATCATTTTTATTTCCTGCCACAGACACTATAGATGACCACACGTTGCTATGGCTACTGAACCACATCCGGCTAGGAATCCCAGAGCTCATCATCCAAATCCGACATCACAAGCACACGCGAGTCTACGCGTTCTTCGTCACCGCTACGTATGAAAAGTAAGCACTCTCTTTAAATGTTGGCTATTGTGAGCCACACATTTTTCAAGGTTGTTTTTAGTCATTAATATTTTATGGCTTAATCTTGACAGTATAACTGCAACTAAGTGAACATTTATTAATCCCCCTTTTTATTGAGTACTTGTTTTATTTGTTTATTGAAAACAAAATATATAGCCATCTAATAGGGAAATTCTAAATTAACCAGCTTCTGAAAACGGTATAGTTTATAAGAGTACATACAGTAGAGTCAAGATTAAAACGTTTAAACTTCTCATCTTTTTTTTTTCCTTTGTGTATTATATGTCATCTTGATCTAAGCAAGAAAGTAGATGGATATCGAAACCATTCATTACAAATGTATTAAACACAAAACATACTGTAAAGATACTTTTTTAAGCTTCAACTGAAAAATATTAACCACTGTCCGGTTGCAGGTATAATGTTAATATTGCTGGTTAAACTGTAGTTGTCTATTAAATACCCTATCACCCTGAAATACAGGCAAAAATCCACAGCAGTAGCTTTTGAAAATGAAATGGTAGTTTGTTGTTTAGTTATGTTTTAGCTACCACTGGAGTCAGGATGTCAAAGCCAAAAATATGCGTAATGTTTAAGACCTTTATAAAATTGGCATTATATTTGGCTGCAGCTACCATATAGCATGCAGAGTTGTTAAGCACATACACAGTGTATAACTAGTCAGGCTCCCTCACTGGGATGCCTGGTTTTACTGTATAAGCACCACCGCTAATAGCTGCAGGTTATTTAAACTGTGCAGAAGGTTAGTCAGCCTGAACAGTGTAGATTGCATTTTATTTGATTACAGTGCCCACACACTCACTCTTGTTTTGAAAATATCTCCAGGGGAATTGGGGATGAGCCCAGGGTCATTTTGATCTCAGCATTGACTTTGATATATAAATACTGAGGAATACAATCCAGGGGATCAGGGTGGCACTTACTGTGCTATACTGTGTTTCATCTCTTGGTGAATGTAGAGTCCTTTCTGCTGACTGTGCATTTAACAATGGGCCACTTGAAAAAAAACTGAATGCCTCAAACAAACCTTTTACCAATGAATGTAATAGGAATAGACAGATGGCTGGAAGAAATGAAGAAAGAAAGGCAGATAGAGGCAGATGCTAAGAGAACAAGAGAGAAAGAGATCGGAGTAAACCAGAAAGACAAAGGGACAAACAACAGGGAAGGTAATGTGGTAGGAGGGTGGAGAGAGTGCTTTCTGAAAGTGTGCCAGTGGGTTTTTAGATGAAATCCTCAAGTAAAATGATTTCTGTGTGACAAAAAGCTCAGCCTCCTCTTTTGCAAACGCAGACACCTGCTGTTGGAAAAGTTGACCTACATTTCATGAGATAGAAGAGATAAAGTATTTCATCCTTCCAATTTGATCTTGAATAGTCATTTTCTAAGCATTCTAGAGAAGTGCGAATTTTCCTTTCAACCCCTACAATGTGAGGATACCAGCTTTTCTTTGCCGTTAACTGGGCTTTGTTTGTATTATGCTGACAACTTTAATGTCTTTATTTTCCTTTGTGTCTTTTTTTTTTTTAAAGGAAGAGGGTATAAGTATAAAAAACAAGGTATTAGCTAAAAAGCTGTGTTATTGCTCTGAAAACAGTATACAAGTATATTGTATAATTTCATTGTAGCAATTACCATACTCTATGCAAATATAAAATATGAAAATATCTCCTCTTCATTTTTTCCTAGCTGACATACCATACATTAGTCCTTCCGCAGCTCTGACTGGGCAGCATCCTGTTTCTGCTGATGCTCCACATTATGTCTGAGAGATATTTGCTATATTAGCATAACCTTACTGTACGTGCAGTGCCTAAACAATATTCTGCTCTTTTACAAGGTTAGTTTTGTCCACACACGCCCTTTGACTGTGTCTCCAAGTTAAGACTCCTAGTATTTGGGCAAATGTATTAGGGGAGTTTTTAATGAAATAACAAAAAGCTGGCAGGAGCTGCGCACCTCTGAAAGCCTTGCAGTTATTGGCTTGAATGGCTAAACAGTTGGTTTAAATAGATACAGCCTTTTTTCTCCCCTCAGTCAAGGACCTCTGTAGAGATGCTGCACACTAAGCAGTATTCAGCGGTGATACAAAAGCTTACACCTCACATTTCTGCTGTAATCAATCATGGTGCAGGACGTGCTTCACTGTATGGCCTGAAGCTGCATGATGGATGGATGTTACAGGCCCACCTGGCCTTTGCTCCTGCATGTGTGCGTATAAACTATATATACATGTGACAGAGAAAGGTGAGCAGTTTGCCTGGAGGGAACTGTGGGCGTGGTGCTGCATTATTAGTGCGATTTCAGCACAAAGCCTGTGGCAAGGACAGAAGGAGAGGAGAAAGGGCTGATGGGATAAAGAAAGAGGAGGGGGAGAAGGAGACAAAGGATGGGACTCTGAGAAATAACAGGGTAAAGAGAAGGGGAGAGTAGACAGAGGGGCTGTATAAGGGAGGAGGAGGGAGGGAGAGATGAGAAACATAGAGGAAGGGCTGATGGGAAACCAGATGATGAGAGAGAGTGATGAGGTTGAAGCATTAAGAGGAGGAGAGTTCAAATGACTTTAACACTATGAAGGACAATCCATCTCTGCTAATGGTATTGTTTGCTGTTGGTTTTGATAATCCCATAAAAAGACTGGCCCAGTACACTGTGGTAATTTCCAGTAAACTGTTTGCTACGCATCTAGAATTAGATTTCTAGAATCTATTCAGCCATCCACTTGACTGCAATTGTTTTCATTATTGATAAATCTGATTTTTGACAAATGTATTGCAAATATAAAAAAAATGCTCAGAAATCAAACCAAGAGCTTCAAATTGCAGAACACTTACAGTATTTCTGTAAAAGTATAAAAACTAGTAAATAATTCTCTCCATGTTGTCCTGCAGTTTGTTGCGAGGTGCTGAGGAGATGGGACTGAGGAAAGCTGTGAAGCACGAGTTTGGAGGAGGAACCCGAAACTTTTCCTGTGAGGAGGACTACATCTACGAGAACATCGAGAGTGAGCTGTGTTTCTTTACCTCACAAGTAAGTGTCAGCACACACACACACACACACACACACACACACACACACACACACACACACACACACACACACACACACACACACACACACACACACACACACACACCCCATATCCTGTTTTTCAATCTTACCTTGTTGCTGTTAAACTACTGAATTTCCCCACGGGGATTAATAAAGGTCCATCTTATCTTAAGTTAATATGCTGATATGTCATCACCTGATTATACTCTCTCCTTGTCTTGGTTGCTGCAGGAGAGGCAGAGCATCATTAAATATTGGATGGACAATTTACGTGCCAAACATGGGGAGGTGCTGCATAATATCAACTTCCTGGAGGGTCAGCCAATCAGTAAGTTTTATTCCTTTATGTGTTATGTGTTTTGACTATCAATATCGATTATAAATCCCTCAGTTGGTTTTGGTTTTAAAAATAGTTTGAGGCATCATTTTTGATTGATTTCATATTATACTTTAGCTGATAGTTTTTACTTTATATATCGAATCATATCTACTCTTCTTTTGTCAATGCATCTATCTCTAGAAAATTAAATGCACAGTCATTTCTAACTTACTTTATTATTCCCGACAGTCCCGGAGCTGAGTGCGCGAGGTGTGATCCAGCAGGTGTTTCCTCTTCATGAGCAGAGGATCCTCAGTCAGCTGATGAAGTCCTGGGTCCAGGCTGTTTGTGAGAAACAGCCTTTAGGTCAGTACAACAAATGGACAGATACACTCTTAGATACACAGTCCATAACACTTAGTACAACCACAACACTTGAGAAACCAAGCTCATGCTTCCCTGTTATATCTTTTAGCAGTCATGTCGTGTCATAGCATCCTTTGCAATATGTACTTTTACATTTGTTTTTACAGATGATATCTGTGACTATTTTGGGGTGAAGATTGCCATGTATTTTGCCTGGCTGGGATTTTACACCACTTCCATGTTGTATCCTGCTGTGATCGGATTTGTGTTGTGGATGCTCACTGAGTCTGATCAGGTGAGAAGAGAAGCTATAATAGCCTTAAAAAACTGAAATCACCAAACAAAAAAGGTCACCTGAGTGTTTGTGTTGTTTCAGACGAGTCGTGACATCTGCTGCGTGGTGTTTGCACTGTTCAACGTGGTGTGGGCCACTCTGTTTCTGGAGCGGTGGAAGAGGAGGGGGGCTGAGCTGGCATTCAAGTGGGGAACACTGGATACGCCATCCGAATCGCTGGAGGAACCACGGCCTCAGTTCCGGGTGAGAGAAACAAAACCTCTGACTCCTTCTTCCATCTCCATATCCTCTTCGCTCTCAGACCCAATCTGAATTCTCTCTCTCCCTCTTTCTGTCAGGGAGTCAAGCGCTGCAGTCCCATAACAGGATGTGAGGAGTTCTACTATCCTCCATGGCGGAGGCGTGTGTTCAGGTGGCTGGTCAGCCTGCCCATCTGTATCCTCTGTCTCTGCTTTGTCTTCCTGGTCATGCTCATCTGCTTTGAGCTGCAGGTCGGTCATGCTGCTGTCAGCACCTGTTTTTTACGTGTCCTGCTTGTTAAAATGTAGCATACATGTCTTAGCTTAAGCCTGCATCTGTCCTTGTTTATGTTTGGTAAGATTATTTGCATGGGTGAATGTAATGAAGCCTGTTGAACACCTATGTTTTTGTTTTTCTCGGATGTGATGGTTAAAAAGCTGTAATTGTGTCTCTCCAGGAGTTTGTGATGGGGATCAAGGAAATGCCCCGGCTAGCTCGCTTTATCCCAAAAATCATGCTAGCTATCACTGTGACTGCATGTGACGAGGTGTACAGGAAAATCGCCTGCTGGCTCAATGACATGGGTGAGAGAAAAGTGATCAGATTCCTCCAGATCTGCATACACGTCAGAGCAGATCATTTCTTATAGAAGATCATCTTAATAAAATTGCTTTCATCTGAGATTCATTGATTTTATTTTATATTTTCCCAGAAAACTATAGACTCCAGAGTGCCTATGAGAAAAATCTCATCATCAAAATGGTTCTTGTGAGTAGCTTTGATCTAATATCTAAAACTACCCATGAGATTTAGAAACATGTTTATTTTCAAAGTCCTTTTCACATAACGCTCTTCTTAATGACACCTGATATTTCTTTCTCTTACAGTTTCAGTTTGTAAATTCTTATCTCAGCCTTTTTTACATTGGATTCTACCTCAAAGACATGGAGCGCCTGAAAGAGGTAAGAAACATCCAAAGCTCAAATGTTCCTCTGTCGCACATTAGCTTCAGGGAATTCATTTGGCCTCAACATCTGTCATTCTCCCATCCTTAAATGCTTTGCTTTCTCTGCTTACATCCATTTATTTCTATAATCTTCCATCCCCATTTCCTATCCCTTTTCCCATCTGTGGAAGATGCTGGTGGTGTTGTCTCTGATAAAGAGTCTGCAGCGGCAGATCTACGACAATATGCTGCCTTTCATGTTCTTCAAGATCCAGATGCTTATGATTTCTGATCCCTGGTTCTTCAGCTCTTTTATCAAGTCCAAAGTATGCTCCCTGACCTGTACACCCTCTGTCTGGTCTAGAGGTCTATGGTCCCTCTCTGACCACCTCGCCCCCCACCTTGCATGCTCTGTCGATCTGGACTTGAACCTGCTTTTCATAAAGTTATAAAGTGTAAACCTTTCTAGATTCAAAAAAAGATTTATCAATACAACATTTCTTGCATCTGAAAATTATCAAATTTTTTGTAAACACACTTTTACCAGACAGAATGATGATGGATGAGCGGTTTGATGAGCGAGAGAATTTAATATGTAGCTGTCAGAGATAGTGTTTGATTTCTACCGATGATTCGTTTATTTTTTTACTGGTCTTGTCACAAATTGTTTCTCCTCATCTGCATATATAAGCAGCAGCAGTTTTTTAAGAAACAACACCCTTCATACTAACATCATTTCTAAGTCTGAGTGTCTGTTTTAGATACACCCTCAGAGGGCCACCTCATTGAGCTTATTCTAACAAGTACAGCCCAGTTTCTAGTATTTGTCAAAGTATATTTACTTTGTATAAACAGGATTTAATATTGTAGTTAAATCAAAAGAAACCAATAGCTGTCCAGTACCAGTACAGTAGGAAGACACAGTGTAGTCCTTAAAGTATCTGAAATGGAAAACATCTGTTGTTCATGTTTTATTCTCAGGAAGACATTGTGTTTGTTGTTTGCATTTCGTGCTTTTGACTTGGAAACAATTACTTTGTGATGCTGCAATTCGTAGTATTTGTATTTTTAGCTGTATATTCGAGGACTGAAGATGTAATCACTGCTCGGTTTTGAGTGTTAGAAAAGCATAATTCTGGGTTATAACAACATGGCTTCTGGCAGAGGTTATAAACATCAATAGGTTTAACACAAATTAACTTATTTTGCAATCAACTTTTTTATTCGTACACTTTTAATACACATAGTACTGAAGCTTCAACTCTTTAAATATACTCAAGTTGTTATAAGCCTGAATTATCCTAAAAGTTAAGATTTGTTTTACATCCTGTTGTGTGTGATTTGGATTTGTTCAGCAAGGAATAAGTATTGAATGTCCATGTTCATGTCCTCGGCCTCAATGCACCATATGCCAATGAAATGTTTGCTTGAGGATAATCTCTGCATACATATTTGTCTTTAGGTTTATTTGTTAGCTTTTTTTCCATGAGGGTTTATCCTGGCAACTCATTTTGTGTATGTTTTTCACTGTCTTTGTCAGATGCTGGCCACTCTGCTCATAATACGGCAGTTTCTCCAAAATGTGAAGGAGGTGCTGCAGCCTTACCTGTATGAGCGCCACAAGCTGGGCGAGCTCACACTGCGAGCGCTGTGGGACCTGCTGATCTCAGTGCTGCTGAAATACGCCCGCCTAGCAGCTGGGAAAGCCCAGGTCTCTCCCACCGACCACGCCATGCCAGGACCTGGACTGAGGGGCACCAGGCCTGGGTTTAGGCATCTAGATAGAAGGTGAAACACAATATTTGATATCTTATTAGATTAATAAATCCATACACTTCAATCAAATGTACATGTCAAATTTGGGGTCAAACCTTTTTAAGCAAATCCTTCACTATTTCATTTGAAGCATGCAGTAAGGTAGACACTTTCTCATAAGATCAGTATGATTACAATGAAGCGTTTACAGTCATTCACACCAACACTCACAGTATTAGTCCCAACAAACAGACCTGCTCTGCCACTTTATCTACAGTACTCTTGACATTGTCTGTGCGCTGCCTGCAGTTATGAGTCACTCCAGTTGCACACTGAGGAAATAGACAGCGCTGTGAGTGGTTAAAACACACACTCATTTTTTCTGATGTGTCTCTTCAATTTCTCTCAGGGAAAAGAAGTGTTTAAATGGAGGATGCGGGGTGCCTGATGAAGAAGAGGGAGGTGAGAAGGACGAGGCCGACAGCGGGAGGTTCAGTGAGGGAGAGACGGAGGAAGAAAGTCTGCTCGACTGCGGTTTGAAGCTGAGGAAAGTCAGCTTCATAGAGAAGGTATAATATTTGTGATAAAATCGATTTAGGAAGTGTTGATGTTTTTATGCTCTGGCAATGTGCCCAAATGTGCAAAGTAAATATAGTACATGTGTTGTTGTTGTTGTTGTTATTAAGGTGGACAGAAGGCCAGTCTGCAGTGGGCCCCCCATAGACCACAGTTACATGGACGAGGGGAGCCCCACTATGGTGGAGAAAGGAATGGACCCTTCCTCTGTATTTGAGATGTGTGACGATGACGATGATAATGGCATCCACGATGTGAAGGAGTCGGGTGGCGGAGCTAGAGGTGTGGCTGAGAGAAATAATGCTGCTGCTGCCGGCGCCGCCCCGCTGCATTCTGGGTCTGAGAGCAGGACATCAGTGCGACATAGAAGAAGAGGCAGGAGCATAGAGAGACTTGAGCCTAAGACAAAACGGGAATCATGGATCGACCCCCCTGAAATGAGAGAGAGCAACACGCTTACTCAGGCTGAGATGGAGAGCTGCATGCAGAACTATTCTGTAAGGACTTCACACTGACCTTATGTTTTAAACTTTGCTCAGAGTTTTAAAGTATGTCAATCTTATTTTTTTGTAATTGTTATTATTCTCACTACGACCAATTGTCAAGATAGAGGTTTACACACCACCTCTGTTTTAGATATTTGGGAAGCACACATTCTTAGGGTTAAGGTTTAGGATGCTTTTACAGCTTTCCAAAGAAAACTTCAGTGAACAAAAACCTCTTGCATGTCTCTGCAGGAATCGTTCTTTCCCAAAAATCTTGAGTTACCAATAGTCATCATAGACAAAAAAAGAAAAATTACACTAATTTCTCTATAAGTCTTTACATAAAACTCACATAAATGAACCCATCCTTATTTACTGTTTGAATTGGTTTATTTTAAGTTAGGAAAGATTGAGAAAGACTGCAACATGTTGTGCAATAGCAAACAAGTCAGCCATATAATGTATGTTGCCAGCTGGGTCAACACTTCACTGTCACTCTCCTTATGATTACTGTAGCTTAGTTCAGGTTTCATACATGTTGTAAACCAGCACTGCAACGTGAATCCAGCAGTCACATCACACCTCAGACATGTCTTGAGTGTGATGTGAATAACATTTGGTTATATGCCAAAATATCATTGCTGACTATATTACAGCTAAATAAAGGGTTAACACATCATTTTTTTGTTATTTGGTACCACAGCACAATGATTTAATTTGTCATCTTTTTGCTAAATAGTAGCTTTGAGATTGTACTAACTTGTAGAGCTGTGATTTAATGGTCCACTCTGCCCCTCTCAGGACACCTTTCAGGACTACCAAGAGATGTTTGTCCAGTTTGGCTACGTGGTGCTCTTCTCCTCAGCCTTCCCTCTGGCTGCCATGTGCGCTCTCATCAACAACATCATTGAGATCCGAAGTGATGCCTTTAAGCTCTGCACCGGTCTGCAGCGGCCGTTTGGACTCAGAGTGGAGAGCATCGGCCAGTGGCAGGTCAGAAACTCACTCTCTGAGAGTTAACAGTCAAAAGGTTTTTACTGTCACCCAAAGACAGGAACAGTTCGATTTCTTATAGTAAGGCCGTCTTATGTAAAAAATCAACTGAAATGATAACCTTCGTGAAATTATCACAACATAACAGTTGATGATCATGTACCTGTGTAACTGTGTAGCAGTCATTACGTTATCATAATTGTCTGGAATTACTGAATAGAACTAAACTGAGATAGGGGTTAACTGTCCCTTTTAAGAAAACCGAATAGTTAAACTTTTTTTTTTTCCTTCACAGACTGTGATGGAAGCCATGGGCTTGATTGCCATCATAGTGAACTGTTACTTGATTGGTCAGTGTGGTCAGCTACAGCGTCTGTTTCCATGGCTCAGCCCCGAGATGGCCATAATCTCCATCGTCATCCTCGAGGTACCGCAGCTTGTTCTTGAAAGTCTGGATGAAATGCTTAGGGCAGTGCTTTTACAAACTTGTATTTGAAGGTGCAAGCATTTTGTAAGCCAGCACAAAATGTATAGCTATCAGAAAATGTTCCAGGTATTAAAAGTGCAAAGTTTTACTACTTTTTGTATTTCCACCTTCCTCTACTGGCTTCATTAGAAAACTACAGATGTTTTCTTTCACTGAAACAGATGTATCTCTGATAACTACACATTGTCATCATCTAGGGACCCAGGAGATATACAAATTCGATATCAAGTTTTAGCTTCAATATTACCTAAAAGGTGTCTTGCGATAACTATTTATTTTTCTATCCATGGTACTGACAGAGTACCACATCAATTCTGTTCTCAGTTATGAATAGTAATGCATGAATTGGGTTTCCAATGTTCCAATCTTTATATAAAGCATGAACACATGAACTTAAGATCTCTTCATGTTTCTCCTCTTACTTGTAACATATTTAGACACAGGTTCTGTTAGCGCTGCACTCTGTGCCTGCCTATATTTGGAAAAAGGTAAACAGCCTGCAGCTCTGTCTTGTCCTGATAAAGAAGTCAGGCCTATCAGGAGGAGGATTTCATGGCCTAGTTGATGATGTGCAAACATGTGTTCAAGTAACATACCCTTGAAGGCTTTTCTGAAGCACTGTGCCCTACATTTGATTTGTGATTGTGCTTTCAATAATTGTTTTTGTTATGTCCCAAACCTCCTCTTTCTACCTGCCTGTTTAACTGCAGCACTTTGCCATCCTCCTGAAGTATGTCATCCATGTGGCCATCCCTGACATTCCTACATGGGTCACAGAAGAGATGGCTAAACTGGATTATCAGCGCAGGGAAGCCTTCAAGGTAAATATGTGACAGCATTAGAACCAAAAATGTTAATTTGTCGTGAAAAAGTCGCAAGAAATGGAAGGAATCCACTAATAATACAGGCTGTTTGAATAAATGCTCAAAGTTTACTTTATTATGTGCAGAGTTCTGTAATGTAATAGAATATATTGCAGTAACCACCAGAGGTGCCCACCTTTCTGCTGCATACCAGCTGTACTGCAACACTGCAGCTTTTTTTGGACATATTTGTTTACTTTAAACTGATATTTTAGCAATGATATTTTAGAGAAAAACAATGTGTAGAACAATGAGAAGAGATTAGGATATAGTGGAGCTATGCAGTAGTAATGCAGAATTCTTAGTAAGGGATTTGTTCTAATGGTAGCACTGCAGTATTGTAATGTGTCGCTAGGTTAGTGCTGAATCTGGTAAATACATTATGGGACTGTTTCCCTTCCTCTGCAGAAGCATGAGCGACAGGCGCAGCAGCATTACCAGCAGCTGCAGAGGAGGAAGAGGGAGGAGGAGGAGAGGCAAAGGCAGGCAGAACATATGGCCCGCAGGGAAAGGGAGAGGGACGAGAGCAAGGGCGACTCCTCTGGGGATCACCACCACGATAAAAGTCACAGCAGTAAATCACGTTCTGGAGGAGGGTCCGGCAGCGGCTCGGACAAACCCAAGAGGCCCAGCTCTCTGTTGGCCAACAACAACGTGATGAAGCTGAAACAGATCATCCCGCTGCAGAGCAAGTTCTCCTCGAGTGGCGCTCGCTCACCTCAGTCACCCACTGGAACTGAGCCCAAGCTGCCCGGGTTCCTGAGTTTCAAATTCCTCAAATCACCTGAGAGTAAGAAGGAAGCTTCTGCAGCTTCTGCCGCTGCAACCACAGCAGCAAATGCCACAGCATCATCTTCATCATCAGGTAGCAGCTCTCAGGAGCGTTCTCAGTCACCCAGCAAAGCCTTCAACCCTGGGAAACTGTTTAACTTTGGGAAATCTGAGGGGGGGACCTGTGTGAACGGGGCTGTGCTGCTCAGACCCGGGGAAGGATCATCCTCACAGGCGTCAGACAGACAGCCATCCAGGTCTGACTTGAACGGTGTTCCAGACGAGATCCCCTCGCCTGGGGGGGAAGGGTCAGAGAACGGACATGCAACAGACTTGGACACGAGCAGCTCTAAAGTCTATTAGCTCCGGAGAGAACAGACCTGGTCGCTGGTTACATCTCCACAGCAGAAGTGATGGGTTCACTGTGAGGAGACGCCTGACCTACCTTCTATGCTATCACACACTATGTGTAGAGGTACTTGAAGCAGAGAGAGGACAAAATGAAATGGATGATAGTTGATTTGTTTAGGTTTTCTTTTTTGAGGAGGAAAAAAAGAAAGGCTTTATAGAAAGACATAAGCCCTCTTATCATGATTAAATAAACACACACAAACACACACACCCTACACAGACATACAAATCCTTCCTTGTCTGCAATACATAAAGAAATGCATGTGCTGCGTTTCTAATATTTTTAAGCCTTTAAAGCGAGGAGCTGTGTTTCTTGATTTCTTCTAGTCATGAATTGTAAGGATCTGGTTGACCTCTCACTAGGACATAATAGCCCGTTGAAGGAAAAAATATATTAAAATATCAAAAGTGGTACGAAAGGATTACAGATTGTACTTCAAATAACTTCTGAGAGTGTTTGTAGCCGTCACAACACAAGTGACCATTAGCTTTTGTCTGATTTTTAACTGTGAGGAATTCTTGGGCCCTTCACTTTTATATTGAAGTGAAAAAAATGGAAAAGCAATATTGGTCAATTATAAATATTATCATCAATTATCACGCGACTCCTCCATTAATTACATCCCTGATGCATCACCAGCTTTATTTTCAAAGCAGAGGTGATGTCTGAGCTCTGAACATTTCTTCCCATCCTGTGACAGTGAGCTGATTTTTTCATAAAAATAAAAAACTGTCAAGCTGTCACATACCAGTATTTTACCATGAGACCATTGGGAAAAGAGAAAAAAAGCAAAAGCAAAAAAAGAATGTGAGCGTAGAGGTAAAGAAGTCACTTTTTCACTGAACCTGCATTAAAACAACTCGTTCTGCAGGAGAGAGGACTGACACCAGCCCGCCTCATAACATTATGCAAAAGCCGGATTTTTTTCAATTTCTCCTTTCACACGGTACATGTTATCTAATCACCTGGCCCTGGTTTTTTTTCTACAGTTGTTAATATTATTTATGTTGAGCTCCATATCTCTTTTTATACACACCATTTGCTGCATTCTTTCAGCATTGCAGTGCTGACGATGGGAATTTTTATTTTTGAACAAAGGCGGTATTTTTCAGTCTATACTGTTAACCCAAGCTGTATGCGTACTGTATGTTCTGTTTAACGTGTACTTCAACACTGTTCCATCAACTACCATTAACAGGTATTTCACTTCTGCTGGGTCAACAGAAGGTGGCGCCAGAGTTCATTTGTATAGCAAAACATTTTTGTTAGGCAGCTTCTGATGTACTATTGACCCCTAACACCAGTGTCTAGTCATCAGTATACATTGGTCAACAACATTAGGCTGCAGATTAGGGAAGTCTTTGCAAGGAAGATGTATCATGGTTACATTTGATTAGGTACGCACTGATAAACGTTTAGAGACAGAAACATTAACTATGCATTTCCACACCATCACCTCTGGCTAGGATTTTGGCAATAACACTGAGTTGTAAGAGACTTACTTGTACTCCCTCACCTGCAGCACATATCCTGCAGCATACAGCATCATCCTCTAACAGACTCTATGCATTGTTTCTTTCTGTCCCTGCAATGTCCACTGTCAGCTCTCTCAGTTTTGCTCTTTCTCAGATTTTATGAGAAATCTTCCATGACTCAAAATGAGGTAATAAGCATAATCTCATCCTTCGTTTACAGTATCTGTCTAGTCTAGGAGTAAAGTTGACATTGAGCATCAAACAGTTTGCGTATATGTTTATGTTGATGCTTTTCATGCGTCTGTCATTTCTCGAGGAGTATAGTCCAGCTTTAAGTCAAATGCCTAAAGAAAACACAAAAAGTACTTCCACATAGCTTACTGACTTTCAATGCAATAAGGAAATAGAAAAGGCATCAATTTTGTGTTCACAGTATCACTTCACTGTCAATCTACAGCATGTTCCTTTTTTATATTTGGAAGTCATGGCTCATTATAGATGTAACATGAGAGGTGCAAGGCTGAGAGATATGTGATATCTTCTATCAAAGACAGGCTGGTCATTGTTAAAGGGACGCATGGTAGAGAACAGGATGGAGTAGTAGTCTCATCCAAACCTTTATTCCTGCAGCATTTGGATTTCAGGGCTGAGTGACATTATGATGCAGTAGAGTCCATTTATTGTTGTTTCAAAGTTTGTGAACTTCTGTATTGAAAATAAGAAGACAATTTATAAGCAGAGGTGACTCAAATGAGAAAGCGGAGAAAAGAGCAACAGTTTAGGTCCTTCCTCAATGTTTGTAGTTCCTCCTTATTCAGGGAAATCTTACAATTCAACTTCATACACGACATACTTCCTCCAGGTCGGTTAATGCTATCTATTCATATCCGATTTCATCTTTGCATTTCTTAACAGCAGCAACTGCAAATTGTTAACATGGAGGTTCTTAAATACGCATTGAAAGCTTGACAGACAGCACTGGGCCAAGCACAGGCTTCTCTTACATAAAGACACTAGCTCAGACAGGCCAACCTTATAAACTGTCTGTAATTCACTTTCAATGCAACTGCGTTTTTTGTAGGATTTCGGTTTATGTAGACAGTCTAATGTGAAACCAGTAGGAACAGACTGAATTTAGTCATTGTACTTGTGCTTGGGAACGGATGGGTTTCTCATTAAAAAACATTAAAACCTGACCCGAACATCTTCATGAAAGCCTCACTTACTGAACACCGTTTGTTCTTCCAATGAACCACTGTAAAATAAATATCTTTTAAGAAAAATACTGGGAAATGGGATTATTTATTTCTTTTAATTTATTTTGTCATATTTTTGTAAGACCTGAACAATAGTTAATAAAACTATTTCAAATGCATTTCATGTGTGTTGTGACCAAGTTATTTCAAAATCCCAACTGCACATTCTTCATTCACAATTTCACAATACATTTTACATATCAGAACATCCTTTAAAACCAGCATTTAAGATGTATGATCACCTATTAAAGTACCACATGACGAGAAAAACCCAATTTTAATCCAGTTTTATTTCAGCAAGGTTTAAAGAACATATCTGATCCAACACATGAGAATGGGGCAATGTCAGGGTTGTAGATAGTCTATTTGAGTACAAGCATAATGTGGGTTTTGCTTCAGAAACGGACTGCTGTGGGTAGAAAGATGACCTCACTGTTAAACCAACATTGCAGCACTGACTGATAAAAGTACAAGAAGGACAGGAGGCTTTGATACGAGTCTGCCAGGCAGTGATGTGTTTTTGTTCAGTGTTGTATAGTATATGATACCAATACAAACTGAAGCTTGGGAACAAGGCAGGATGGCGACTGCACTTTGCTGTGCATGCTTTTTGTGTATTCTATGGCTGAAAATATAATCCACCCCCTGGTTTCATCTAAGCAAGCTCTCAGACAAAAAACATCCAGGGCTGTCTCAAAGACAGGGCGACGAGTACAGCTATCCCATGTTGAAATGTTGTAAGGCCTCTAGGCTAACACCTTATAAAGTCACGCAAGATAACACCACAGCCCCTGTTATTACTGATCCAGAAGTATAATACCCAGCTGTGAAAACATCAACATGCAAGGCCAGGTAACATCCATTGGGCACCGGGGCTCTTTACTTTCAAATGGGTCATTTTCTATTGTGTCCGTGAGCATGTTTTATTTTACAAAAAGGCCAACACATACATATTTCATTGGATACGGTCAACTAGTTCTGGAACTGACAATTATTTACACACATCATTTTTTATTATTTTATCCCTTTTCCAGACATTGCTTTCCATAGTTTTTAAATCACTGTCTGAGCTGTTACCTCGTTGTGCAACTAAGAAAAACAAACATTAGAAATTGTACAACTATATATTTAAGATCGTTTTAAGGTGTTTCTTCTTTTGATGAAAGAGAAGCTGAAACTCACAGAAAAGCCTATTCCTACTAGGCTCGAATAGCCAGAAGGTGGTGCTAGATGTAAACATATTTCACCAACACAACATTTACTCTACGAGCACGTCCCGGAATAGAATGAAGATATGAATGTTTCACCATGAACACACATGTACAGGGATTCTGGAAGAGTTGCTTCTACTTTGTGCTGATCTTCACAGTGAAGTCTTGGTTCTGTTGAATCAAACAGTGTGGAGAAACCTCGCAATGCCCCCATGTGGTCGCAGAGTGGGCAGTGAAACTGAGAGGGTGGGCACTGTGGCTGGCAGGAAGCTCATTGCCATACATAAACAATTATAGGTATAACAGATTAAAACGTTTTCTTTGCACAAATCAGGACTCTTCAGGTGACAGAAGGCTACACAAGTCATGTACCAGTTTTGAGACTGTTTTTAAGGGTAGTGTCTGACTTGATCTGTCCAGTCCCTCTCTGATCTTAAATCTACTCGGATACTTTTCATTCACTTCACACATACTGTACACACTCACAGCTCAGCATGCATACAAACATTTTATAACCTACACAGAGAATAGCCAACATAAATAAAAGAAATGCCAGTATTTAGTTTCCAACTGACAGTTCCAATCTTTTCTGGTTACATCGTTTTCACACATGCAAACTTTACACCATAAATGGCTCCTTTGCTGAAAGATGGGAGATTCGAATTCAGGCAAGGAAAGAAATCCTGCCATAACGCAGAACGACTAGAAGTATTTCATTCACTGGGAACACCATTTGGTTGGTTTATACTGGCTATACTCTGTGTATGCAAACACACACTCACACACAGTCTTATGAGTCTTCGTTCATCTCTTGACTATCTGTCCTGGCGATTTTCCTTGGGGGTGCCGGACTGTCACCCTCACCTTGTTCCTGTTCCCTTTTCTTTGCTGCATTCTGTGTGACACAAAGGATTACACAGCAGACAATAAAACCATTAAAAAAAATGTTTACCTGTCAACAAGCTACCCGACTAGACTAAAGACCAAACATGACGAGGCTCTTGATGAACTGAGTTCTAAAAGAGACTGTTCATAAAATGAACTCCAAGGGACTACACATGCTCACCTTTTTGTCCCACTGCTGATGGAGGTAACGCAGGAGAATGTTGGTTTTCTCTGTTACAATAACTGTAGAACAAACAAAGTCAACATGTTACCGAAAAAGGTATGTGAAAAGCTATTTTAGATTGCAGCTTCCACACATATTGCATGTAATGAAACAAAATCACTGATCAACTACTCATAAACAAACAGCCTTAATGTGAAAAGAGACCCAGACTTTTCCTCACAGTTTTGACTTAGCTGTGAGTTTGGTACTTACTCTGTTCAGAGGGGTATTCTCGTGTTGGGAGGTACACAGAGGGCCTTCGATTCTGTGAAACAAAACAGAAAAAGGTTATAGACTACAGTTGTGGGGTCAAATTATAAATGTTTGTGTATTATTTAGTTAAGGTGTTTTGACAGTGTATGGGCTCACTTTTAAACAATTTCTAGCTTGTTATCGATACAAAACATTCATAGCATTACTATTGACAGTCTCAGGATATACATATTACCACAGGCTACTTACAGATGCTTTACAAACGGAGTCTGCATGAAACCTGCTGAAGTTGCTCTTATTGTAGACGGGAAGTCCTTTCAAGAAATCAGCCTGTGGGAAGAGGGTGAGGTGATGATGATGATTATACCCTGTGTTTCCATCATCTTGCATTTCATTTAACCTTAAAGACTGCTTGCCTCAGTTTTGTCTGCCAAAGATATTCTACATTTAGAAAACAGGCTGTGGCCATTCATAACAACAATCCAAATGATCGATTGGCATTAGTGACAAGAGTTTGCTAATACAAGTGTGAGATAGGCGGAGGGTGGTAAGAAACATAGATGAGGAGCACATGAATGTAGACAGAGGATTACTATCAGTGAGTCGGGGTTGGGCGTTCCCTCATCTGAGGAGCCCATGCACGCTCAAGGGCCTACTGCCCTCCCTGTGCCCAGCAGGAGGTGGTGATATCAGAGTATATGCAGCAAGTGGCTTCAAATGAGCAAGTCAGAGCTGAGCCGCTCAGGGAACAACAAGAAGCCGGCTTGTCCTCGGTGAATGAATGCCAACAGGAGAAGCAGGTGTAGCTAGCAGCTATCTGTTACCTATAGTTAGCTAGCTCGGTATTACCATATAGCCTTTGAGAGCTGTACGCTTAAGATAATGTAACAAGGCTGGCGTATGTGGACAAAATACCTTCTCCATGATGATGGTAGAAATTTCCAACGTCGAAACGCCGACTTTTGGTCTTGAGTGGCTGCCTGATGGCAGGCAGTGTGAGTCTGTTACGAATAGCCGCGCTAGCTTACAGGCTAGTTATCCGAGACAGCTGTCCAGATAGGGTGCTCCCGGCAAAGAAAACAACAACCTTCACACACCAGTGGTTGTTTCCATCTTAAATCATAGTGTCCATGAAAAACTTAAACAATACACAGAGAAAGTAACCCGGAATGTTATTTCATGAGTTAGCAAAGCTTAAAGCAAAGGACTTCTTCAGCTAACATGATGGCTGGATGGTAGCGATGGTCACGCCCTGAAAGTTCCAATTGGTCTATCCCCATATATCCCACGTGGTAAGAGCTTGACCTGACAGCCAATCATTGAACACAATAGATTTTAGCCCCTCCCTAAAACATTTACTCGGAAATACTGTTTCCCTACCTACATGATGACCTTATTATAAAAAAAAATACAAGAACAAGAACTATTACTTCAGTGCTGTACTCAAATGTGAGGTACTTACTGGAGTGTTTGCATGTCATGTTACTTAGACTTCAACTCCACTACATTTAACAGTAAATCCTCTAGCATATATGCAGCATTAGTTACCATATCTTTGTTTTCCAGTGATCTGCAAATTACTTGATTTTGACTTTGAATATTTATAATAAACTGAAGGATGACATGTTCCTTTTAAGGATTAAGTTTCCCTCTTGATTAGATGCAAAATGCTTTGGGTGTACTGATCTTTCTCTCTGCAAAACTCTTGGCAAAGTTAACACGGTTCTAAAACAGCAATTTGACTTCGATCCTTTTTATTTTAAGTCATATGTTTTTGATTCCTTTTTTAATGTAAATTGTGGCATAGGCTATTTTTAGCCATCTCTCTCAAAACTACAGTATTACAGTATCAATGTCAACGTATACTGTTCTTACGACCATCACATTATAAAAAAGGTACACTTTAAATTGACCTAAGTTTTTGCTGCTGGAGAAACACTCAACATACAGTAGTTCAGTGGTTTGCTGGCTCCTGCCTCCTGGACTCCTTGCAAATAATTCCTTAGCAACAACAGCCATGGCAACAGCCTCAGCAATAGCTCCCATGATGCTGGAGAATAGGTTGCTGATAAGATGGAGGGAAGTATTCAATGAGGAGATCGATGATTCATGTTAAACAGACATCAAACATGAAAATAGTATAACAATAACTTACTAGGAGAAGATAGATGCATGTCCTTCCTTTGTCTTTCTGACTTCATACAACTCCAAAACAAATCTTGCAAAATGCTTCAAACTAAATGAAAAGTTAAAATGAACTTTTGTGTATCACATCTAGCCGGACTCAAGAATGAACAACCACATTTAAAGGGAGAAGTAGCTCATCAAGCTGGTTGTGGACTGATGGAGATCTTCTGTGAGTTTAGCATCCCATAAACTCTGCTCCCATCACAGCGTATTCGGTATTACACAAATTGTATTGTAAAGGAAAACTTTAAAGAGAAAACACAGAGAACACAGAGAAAGATTATTGATAGATTTTTGATAGGGCAACATTTTTGGTCCACAATATAGAAACAAAGTTATTTGAAATGCAAGTAGGCTAAATGTTAAATAAACTAATGTATTACAAATTATCATTATTATTATTATTATTATTATTACGATTATTATTATTATTATTATTATTATTATTATTATTATTATTATTATTATTATTATTATGATAAACATACCATTACTACTTTTTTAAGAACGTAGCCTAATATAAATGTGTTTTTTTTCAAATAGTGAAGGTACGTGTTCTCTGTCGTCTCATAGCAGCAGGGGGCAGCTCTTCACATCCACAAAGTAAGCCTGGAGGTTTCAATGGTTCAGCCGTACCGAAAGTTGATAGATTGATACAAACCCTCTCCGGTTCTGGAGCTTCTCCAAGCGTCCTGATTTGACGTGGAAGTGCTGCTGAAACAGAGATGGGTTGTAGTACCTCTGAACCCATGCTGTCAGTAGGCTAACACTGTCCGCCAGGTGGAGGCTGCCGACAGCACAGCAGATAAATTAGATTATTGGATTGACTGCAACAGATTATAGCTTTCTACGTCCTCGATGCTTCATAAGAAAACCACATCAATCGGATCATATTTCTCGCGGAGTTGTTGGAAATACAAAGGTAAGCATTTTCTTTCTGGCCACGTATTTATCTTTTCACTTGTCTGTGTTTTTGTTCAAGTGTACTTTATACTTTAGATTAGGCCTACTGGCAACAAACCAGAGGTCGATATCATGTTAGGTTTCAGTTAACCGAGGCTATTATTGAATATTCTAAACATTTTAAAATGAAGTTTATAAATAAACATAACAAGGAAAAACTGTTTATGTTCTGGCCTGGCTTTCACTATTCAACTCGCTTCATTATAATTAGTGAATAGAAGGGGCCATCTCCCCAGAGAGATATAGGAGATTAATCCTCCCGAAATTGCCAAATAATCTATTTAAGAATTGAATGAAGAGTTTATATTGATCATATTTTATTTTTGCTCAAACTGGTATGAAATTATGTCCTATTAAATTAATATGCCAGCATGACGTGTTTACTGAATCAATAATTCATTTCAACAACTGTATTCACCACAATTTATTAAAATAAAAAATCCCATGCTGAGAGTGACAGTAGGCCAGTAGACTACTTTAATTCAGTTGTTTTTTTTACGATGAAACTGTCTTCCATGAAATATAAAAAAAATCAGAAATTTGATGAAATTGTGCCATACAACATGGAACAAGTGCAAATTCAGGAATCAATGTTATGTTATTCCTGCAGATTATTATTTATCATCAATGAACTGCCTGGTTGTTTTCAATCCCCATGATGATAATCTGCCCTTTTCTGGGCATCAGTGCACACTGATGGTGTCTGACCTGCGTGAATCTTTACATAACAGACTCTTGCAGACACTGCCAACAGAAGCCATGTACGTCGTCAACACAAGAGGAATAAAACTCACTGCAGTGCTTCATCATACGATATGTCCAAACGGAAGACTTTAAGAACAGGGAGGCAAACGGATAGTATAATGACACAGTAAGTTAATATTAAATAAAGTTTACATATACATAACATCGTTTCTATTATTTAGGTAAGCAGTGACTCTAGGGTTATCAGAATAATCTTGATTGATAATTGGGGTGTTGAAGTGAAAGTGTAGCCCTTGCCCTTTCCTTATTATCCTTATGATTTGGCCTTTAATAAAAGTAAACACCTGACTGCTCCACTACAGCAGTACTTTAGTGAATGGATTCCCAGATCATTTTGTGTAACTTTACTCAAGGAAAGCCGAAGCAGTGTCCTCCTCTCTAGGGACCCATCTCCCATTTAATATGTGTTTAAACAGGGTTCAGTCCAACAAACTCAATAAATTAGGGAATGTTATGAAAGTGAGAACTGAAACATTCTGCACAATGCTTTTCTCACATCCTCTCTCACAGGATTCTTTTGCATATGTATTTTTCATTCAATGATATTGTCATTTAAGCCCAGTCTTTTAATGCGAACACATCAACACCATCTATTCTCTGACATTTAATAATGCATTGATGAATTGATATATATGCTGGACTAGAAGGGAGACTGCAATGAAAAAAATGTCAGGACAATGCATGGCAGGATGGATTGTTTTAATGTTATTCCAAGTGTGTGAGTGGAAAATTGCAACTTCAAAGTTTGTCACGATGGATGAATAGGAGTTTTTATGTCCAAAAGGGGTGAAAGTCTATTCTAGTATCAGTATTTAATGTAAATGGAAACTTAAAACCAGAACAGAATTAACATGCTCGGTCCACAGCAGTGTACAATACTGCTGTTTGTGTAAAGGATGTGCAAGTGTAAGCAGAAAGTCCATGAGAATAGCCAGCAAAGCAGGAATGCTGCAATACAATGTGTCAATAATCCACTTGTGAACGCAGCAGCTGATGGGTTGCAAGCATAGGTTGCAAGTGCAAAAAAGATCCAACAAGTCACTCAGAGGGAAAAAGGTTGACTTACAGTGTCACTGTTTTCATGGAGAGAGGAGATTGACAGATTGTGTTGTGTGGATTTAGACAGAGAGAGAGAGCGTATAATCCTCTCTAGCAGGGAGGAGAGCAACAGGAAGGTTGGATAATGCAACCGGCAGAGACTTGCAGACCCTGCTCAGCTCCTTTTCTGTTGCCAGGGTTGATAATTAACTGACAACCTAACACAAACCCATGCAGAGTCTCATCCATTCTTTAGATGTTTACTCCTCTGATGATTGAAGAGTTAGCTGTTTTAGATGGTTGCAATATGGAGTAAACAATAGAACTTTAACTTCTAATTTGCTAAATATAAATGTGTATCCTATCCGCATGTCATGATTTCAGAAGCATACTTACCAGGCCGTACTCTAAAAAAGGACATTTATTACTGAACATGTAGGTTGTTTGGTGTTTTGACAGACATTATAGCAGTGTGCGCCGGTGCAGTAATCACATGACAGGCTGCTTTAACTCAGGGAGCTATAACTGGTCCCGTCTATTTATACCCTGCAGTCTGCACTGTAGGAAGATGCTGCTCAGTTATGTCTGTGAGAAAGTCTCAAAGGTGTGAGTTGTAGGTAAAAGCAATATTGTAAAAGCACAATAACTTTTTGAATGGTTAATTTCATGTTTCCAGATGCTCGTTTAATGTAAAGATTTAAAGACTGAAGATAAACAGGAAGAGGTTATCTTAAAAATGGCATGACTTTTAATACAACTACTGGTTAATAGAACAATTCTCGACCGATGCTTGTACTGTAAGCAATACAAATAAATGAGAATGTAGAATACAAATCTTGTCAGATATTTAATCAAATAATTACAAGAGAGATGTGTGCTTTAACTTAAAAAAATTTGAGCCAGATGTAATCATCTGCTAAATCTTTCAAATCTCAATTACCACTAAACATCTTGTTGATATGTTTTTATTGTGTATGGATTGTCTTTTACAGATTTTTCACTTTTCTTCTCTTTATTTTCATCTAAAGTTGATTTCTTTCGATATAATGTACTCATTTTGAAATGTACAATGGCCAATAATAGCAGACATTACCTATTCAGTGGGGCTCAAATAAAGAGTAAATACACTTCAATGACGTTGATGGGTTGAGGGTGTATATCTATTACAACCTGATTTCACTTAGTAATACAAAGTAATAGAGTGGATTTTTATAGTCAATATAAGAAGCTAGGTTTCACCTTAACCACTGTTTACTGACCTTATAATGTATTTATTGTTGCTTAGTTATATTGAAAACTGGCTTGTTGACCTGGTTCATTTTATAATGTTTGTGCGTTTGGTTTTCTGTGACTTGTTTCATTCATGTTTGCATTTGTGTGGTGATTTATGTGTGTTTTTATATGATTGTATTCCCTACAGACCGACAGCCATGCTGACCAGCTTTATAGAGGGTCTTCTCTGCTGCCTGTCCTCAAAGTCAACAAACGTTGTTGGTCCTGTAGAAACCTCAGAACTAGCTGATGGCTATGAGTTTGTGGAGGTTAAACCAGGCCGTGTCCTTCGGGTTCGACATATTATCCCTGACCGGCCGGTGGTGGAGGAACCCACTGGGACGGGAGGGACGGTCAGCTGCAAGCGGAAGATCACAGTGTATCGTAATGGACAACTGTTTATTGAGAACTTGGGTGCAGAGCAGAAGAGCTCCCAGAATGGAGAGACAGAACCAAATAACCCAGTTGAGGGTGAAAAAGAGGGGACAGCTGAAACTGGAGCAAGAGAAGAAGTACCGGCTGCTGGAACGACTGACCAGCAGCAGCAACCCAGGAAGAGAAGATGGAAGCCCAAGCGCACTGTGATGATCGACTGTGAGAGGAAGATATCAGCCTGTAAAGGGACACATGCAGACGTGGCTCTGTTCTTTATCCATGGAGTGGGAGGCTCACTGGATATCTGGGGAAACCAGTTGGACTTCTTCTCTAAACTGGGATACGAGGTGATCACCCCGGACCTGGCAGGTCACGGGGCCAGCTCAGCACCAAAGATAGCAGCTGCATACACTTTCTATGCCCTGGCTGAGGACATGAGACTCATATTCAAGAGATATGCACGCAAGAGGAATATTCTAATAGGACATTCTTATGGGTAAATTTACGATCACAACATTGATGTCACACACATTTGAATTGAAATATTTCCAATAACTGATTATATGTCTTTTTTTTGCCTATAATATTAAGAACTATTAGAAGCCCAGACATGCATTGTGATCATATATCTCATTTAAAAAATAGTGTAATACATTGAGTATAGTATCAGTGAACTGAACATTGACGTAATGTGATAAATTGTTTAATCAATTAGTCGATAGTTTGATTAGTCAAGTGCAAATGTGTTTTTTACAAATGTGTAATAAGTTCATGCAAAATAGTGCCCAACATTTATAGATAAAGAAAAGATAAGATATACTATACATATATATAGATAGGTATATATAGATATCAGTATATATTTATATGACTATATATATAATACGTATAGCATATATATATATATATATACATATATTTGCTTTTATCAGTTTAATATAATTGTGTACGAGCTGTATGTCTTACAGTAAGACTATTTAAGATTTAAAAAGAGAAATAACACAATTTCCTTCTTATAAATGAACATTTGAATTCATAAGCAATAAGATGCACTATTGCTCAATGCAAGTCATTCAGGGTTTAGCCATTACAGCTGTTCTTCTTATTTCTTATTATGAACAAGTGAATGCTTTTTATTCCCCAAATGCTTAAATGATACATTTCCACTACCACAATACAAACAGAATACCCTGATTATTCTGGCCTGTCCTGTAACCATCCTTTTGCTCTGCTCCCCCAGCGTGTCCTTCTGTACCTTCCTGGCCCATGAGTATCCGGACCAGATCCACAAGATGGTGATGATCAATGGAGGTGGTCCCACAGCGCTGGAGCCCAGCCTCTGCTCCATCTTCAACCTGCCCACCTGTGTGCTTCACTGCCTCTCCCCGCTGCTAGCCTGGAGCTTTCTAAAGTAAGACAGACAGCAACAAAATAGAAACTGTTTTACCATGAACAGTGCGTTTCTTATGCTATTTTGCTGTAAGTAAACAATGATCCAGCTTTTATAACTTTTTTGTATAGGGTGTTATGAAATACAATGTAGCTTAAAGTTGCTGCAGGCCAATCTGTAATGACTTAACATTCATTTAGAATAATGGGAAACAAAAAGTAATTTTGAAAAAAAGCTTTTGGACTTCAAAAAATAATAGAAACATTGATCATTGCAAACATGTTCTTGGCCAAGTGTGATATATATGTTGTGTTCCCTAATGTTATCAGAATCCTGTAGTTTTTTTAAGCTGTTTGTTAATCTGCTCTGCCGCCTACAGGGCTGGCTTTGCTCGGCAGGGTGCCAAGGAGAAGCAGCTTCTGAAAGACAACAATGCCTTCAACGTGTCGTCCTTTGTGCTGCGCGCCATGATGAGCGGGCAGTACTGGCCGGAGGGGGACGAGGTCTACCATGCTGAAATCACAGTCCCTGTCCTGCTGGTTCACGGCATGCACGACAAGTTTGTCCCCATCGAAGAAGACCAGCGCATGGCGGAGGTGAGTGGGCCTCATCAACCAAACAATCATAAAGTGGCAGTGCTTTGTTGATGATTCTAAAATATAATTTCTTGTTATGCTGTCAGATCCTCCTATTGGCCTTCCTGAAAGTCCTGGAGGACGGCAGTCACATGATCATGATGGAGTGTCCTCAGGCTGTCAACACACTCCTGCACGAGTTCATCCTGTGGGAGCCGGCCACACCTGCCCCTCCAAAGAAAGACTCTAAAGCACGTCCAGAAACTGCCAAAGCCCGAACTGAAAACACAAAGTCTTTATCCGAACCTTCTAATGCTCGACCTGCAACTGCAAGGCAAATGTCATCCAACAGCGGCACAGCGGAGAAACCAGACAGCAAGACCAAGAAATGACTGAAACGTTAAGCTGAAGCTACCAGTGTCATGGCTGGCCATGCACTATTCGAATCCTGAATATCTTAGACTGTTTAGGCTGTTGCAACTGAATGTTGGACATCTGAAAATGTGACCGAATGAAGGGATTTAAGTCTGATCAGTTATGTCAGCTGATGGGCTGAGGGACAGAGAAAAGAGGAGCTGTGCCTTGAAGAGACGGAGGGGCGACGGTGAAAATTAACAAAAAAGGTCATTTTTGACAAATTGTCACATGCCTTGCTGAAAGTTATAATATTAGAAAGGATAACACCTGATTGCCTGCTCTGACTTTTCCATTACTGAACTGTGGAGAATAAAAGAAAAAGCAAAGTTTTGTATGTAACATTCTCCTGGTTGACTTCTTCTTACGCTGCCCTACGTAAACCAGCAGCTAAGCCAGTAAGCCTTATTGAAACTAGCTAGATGGAAGAAAAAAACGTATTAGTCTACTTCTTAAGGTTGAAAGCTAAGGTAGGAAATTCGTTTTAGAAGCACTTGTAATTTTATTTGTTTGAATTGTCTTTGCATATCAACAGCCATCGATAAAGAAAATGTTCTGAAAATAGAAAAATGTATAAAAACATTAGGCAGACAACATTTCCCAAAACTAACCCGGTAGTACCAAAAAAAGCCATGTTTGTAATTTACGGTAATTTTTATAATGTTAGGTTTTTACTTGTGTGTCAGGGCGGTGGCTTTGCTTGCTTTACTCTTGCTCCAAAGTTGCCTACCCAGTTTCAATTTCAAATTGTGACACGCTGAGCTAGCTTTGTGTATCTTTGTCTTTAAATGCCATACCGCAAAATTATACATTTAAATCTCTCACCTTTTGTAGTGGTGAGAGTATTAACAAAGGGAACAGAGGGTTTCATGATACACAAAATGGAACATCAAACAAATGGGAAGGCATTTTGATTTCGTATTTTGGCAATTGCATCTCTAAGAGGTGAACCAGGATATTACGCCCGCTTTTGCATAGAAGTAACCTGACCCACTACTCACCCTAATGATTACACTAGTTGCTTCTTGATTCAACAGACACACAAGATGATTTGTGACTCTTTCAGTTGTGAATTTGAAGTGTAACATTATCAAGTACTGATAAAGACAGAAGTGAAAGTACTGTATATTTGCTGCCCCCCATAGAATTCAGTAAAATGTGTGTTCAGTCGAGTGTATCCTGTTACTAGGTAGCAATAGTTGAGGCTCAGCAATGAATCATAACTTTATATGTAGAAAAAGGGCACATTTCTTAACACTGATCATTTGTACATGATGGGGATGTTAATCAATAATAAGAAGGCTTGTATTGAGATGCTTCAATGAAGTGCAACATCTCACCAAAACGGCATTTTATGTTTTTCATACATAGATTCGTCTTTTTATACTTTTTTTTTCTAATCATGATGAATTTTTAGAGCTCTAAAAGACATTGTAGCAAGGAATTCACGAGATCAATTGAAGACAGTTCTGATCACATTTGTTTTGAGACTCAAGCTTGCGTCAGCTTATCATTAATAAAATCATGTTGTAAAAAATTGGAAATGATCCGTGATTTGTTTCAAAGACAATCAGCTGGCAACCATCAGCCGGAAGCCTTCCAGGCCACTGTTGCATCTTTTGATGAACACGGGTCAAGTTCAACTTTTTTGCCATGTGTATTAAAAGACAATGAAATGTGTGTGTGACATTCTCTACACCTAAAACAGGGGCACACATTCACAGAAAGCACAAGCAAAACAAAAAATAAGCTTGGCTAACAACCCGACAACTGTCAACAGACTTTGATTGAGATATGACAAGTAAACATCAAAATGTGATGTGTTTTTTTCAACAGAGAAATACCTTCTTCAAACCACTGACAACATGGCATCTCTCATGTGAACTAATGAAAACTGTTTGAAATCAAGCAAATGATCACTTAGAAACCATGGATCAAAATAAGAAGCGGATTAATACAATATTTTCTGGAGGCCTGTAAAGATGTTATTCACATTTTGTAAATCCAGCATGATATAGTAGGCTATAGTGTGAAAAAGAATGGGCTTGAGTCTTGACAAAGTCCTGGTAGAAATACTCTTTTTCTTAAAGTCTCCTTTAATGAAATGACACAATGTCACATAAAACATTTTTAAATGAACAACTCAATTATTCAAACATGCCATATATATATAAATGCAGACTCAAGCAATTGTTTTTGTTGAGGGGAAAAAAAGTGCATGGTGGTTTGAAAATGAATGTCAATTGAATAAAGTATTATATTAAAGTTAATAAACGCACCATGCACTTTTAAAGAGGATTATAAAGCAAAAACTTAAGGCATCTAGTATTACCAAGGCCCCTAGTTTGACAACAGCATTTCCACTCACAGTACCTATTATTTGCATTCTTACAGCTTTTTTAAGAAAATATTTATAACTTAATTTAAATCATATTTTTAGCAAATTGACAATAAAATATTTGATCAAATTCTGTAACAAATCTTAACAAAAACATATCTTTGTAAAAGCTTTACAATGTTTATACATTCATAACATAATTAAAAGAAAGCATTCAGATGAAGCACTTATTTCCTAAAAGTAAAAGTCACAGCATCCACCTGCGACGCCTCAGACCTCCACAGTATCCACAGTAACCGTGGCTCCGTTGCTGGTGTCCTGCAGAGGGGTGGTCTCTATGGGGACACTGGAAACCTCTTCAGGCTCCTCTTTTTTGTCTTCCTTCCCACCATCAGCCACAAGTGGAGAACTCTCTGCTGCCCCCTGCTGGTCATTGCTGATAGTGCTGGCAGCCTTCTCCCCTTCTGGCTTCTCTGCTGCTTTGGTTTCATTCACAACCTGGACGGAGTCGACTGAAGAGGCCTGGACTGCTTTCAGTTCCCCGTTCTGCACAGGGAAGACCCCCTCCAGGGCCTCATACAAGAACTGGTACTGCTCCTGTGAGACACGCAGGCAGAGTAAAAACATCAAGATATGTTGCTGTGATGTAGAGGAAAACATTTGATTGTGGACTTTTAGGTGACCCTTTGAACAGCACACAAATAAGAGCACCAGAAAACAGCTTTTTGCCATATTGTTACTGTGTTACTGTTTGAGTCATCTCACATACGCCTTTCCTGCTGTTGTAGTCACTAAAGCTCACTTCTCAATACACTTTTTAAAGGAAGTTTTGAAGGAAGCAAAGGAACTGAAACATAGAGGAGACATTTTTAGTTTTTACAGCATTAAACTGTGGTTAAAGTGAAATACATTCCCAATACATTAAAGCTTTATATCTATATTTCTTTAGGTCTTTATTTCTAAAACCTAGCACAGCAGACTGCAAATAGATATAAGGGGTTTTTTATATCCATAACGGACAGTAATATTATGTAATACAGTACTTGTCACACTCAAAGCTGTTAGAAGTTCAAGCTGTGAAACTTTGGGCTGACAGATATTTGGTTCCTCTTTCTTACCAGGTTGGACAGCATGCCTTGTCTCTCCTTGCGCAGGGTTTTGGCCACCTGGAAAACATCCATCAACTTCTCAGTCTCAGCGCTGTCCAGCAGGTTCCACAGAGCACAGAAGATCCCTGACCGGGACGAGCCATTACTGGACACACACACACACACACACACACACACACACACACACACACACACAAACACAAACAGTTAGATTGAGATTCCGCCATGATACATTTTTTTTTTTAATACAAACTCTCCCAGAAGGACATATATGTGTTTTTCAGTTATGTTCATGAATGTTATTTACTATGAAAACACAACATCTTAAAATGGGTAACAACTTCAACTCATTTCCCTTTTTGATGCACATTAATCTTAAACTTAAACCAGTAGGGTGTTGTTTTCTCCAAGAGAGTTTAAAGTTCTAAAATGTATATTGTAAAGCTCCTTATGAGAACATTTGGATATGCTCTGATTATATACTACCCCTTTAAGATTCAAGAGGACATGTTCTGAGGTTGTCTTACTTGCAGTGGACCACAACGGGTGAGTTCCTCTGTGATTTTACTCCTCCACAGCTCTGCTTGATGCCCTTGATCATGTCCGTGAGCTCCTGAGCTTTCTCCGGCAGCTCGTTGTTGGACCACGTCAGGAACTGGAACTGTTTCACCGACCGAGTCTCTTTCCTCTGTGGACAGGAGTTGTGTGGGGGGTTAAAACAGCTTGTTGAAAGGACCCATCTCATCTTAAGCTGATAGATGATAAACATCGGAAAATAACAGACTTTATTCAGTAGGCATCTGTCGTGTTACCTTGACGTGACGGAGCAGCATGTTGCGGGTGATGAAAGTTGGGGAGGTGTCTGTGCTTTCCACTTCCACCTCGAAGTCCCCAAACGTTTTCTTATCTTTGTCCCAGTAGATAGAGTTAGACTCCTGTTCACAAGAAAACACACACACACACAACGTTTATTTACCATATATGTACTAAGAGCATGTGGTTTATTCTCTATGCGAGGTACATACAGAACATGATTAATACCTCACTGCTCTCTGAGAGCATGACGATTGCAGATGTTTTCTTTTGGTAAACCATCAACCAGAAGTCAGCCACGGTGTCCGGCAGGGGGGTCTGCGCTACGATGAAGTTTTGTGGGCCCCAGTACCCCTGTGTGGGCAAGAAAAAACACATCAAACATCTATTGTTGCACACAATTCTAACCAACAGGATGTGGTGAATTCAAATTAGATTTAAAAATGCAACTGTCTGCGTGAAAGAGACAAAACCTGCTTCAACAGGGAAGGAGCAAGACAATGCTTCAGTTTAAAAAAACACAATTATTTTTGTCCAGGAATCCATTTCCGTAAAGTGTAAAGTACGGAGAAAGAGGTTATTCAATTAGACGAAAGTATATGTAAATCATACATCTATGTGGGAGGCATTGATGTACATAGATGAATCCTCTTCCTCCTCATCTGATGATTCTTCCTCTTCCTCATCATCAGGGTCACTGTCACGACTGCGTCCTTCATCTAATTTCAGCAACACTCGGTTGTAGTCATCTGAGGCAGAAGTGAAAATAAACTTTGGTAAATGATTGTACACTTTATAAAAATAATGCATACACTCAGATGTATTATAGATGTTATTCTATTGTGTCAAATGTAATGCCCCTTTGCTGAGCTGAAACCTACATGGGATGACAGAAGTAAAGCGATTCTTCTTCTTGTTCTCTTCTGTGAGCCCCTTGTTGAATGTCCTCCAGTTTTTATAGATGGGGAGTCTCTGAATTGCAAGACAAAGACTGTTCATCATAGTGCTAAAGAAAGGTCTACAGTTCCTTCTATATACACTAATAAGATGTAAGCAGGGGGAAAAGGATAGGACTACATTTTAAAGGGACCACTAATGCTGTGGAGTGCCATACCTCAAACTCATCGTCCAATAAGGTGGGTTCACTGCTGGAGTTTTTCTGTTTGAGCGTGCTCAGGGTGCTGTGGAGCTCGGACACAGTGGTCTCAGTCTCTCCAAACTGATTGTGCTCCAGCAGCGCCTGGTGTATCAAGATGTACTGGGCCTGCGTGAGGACAACATCACTTCATAAAAAAAGGATATACAGTTTGGGGATGGAGCCATTATTCACAAGACAGACAGGAATCATCCACAACCTGTTAACTCTTTCTCCTTCTCTGTGAATGGTTTGGATTTAATAAACACAATTCTGCTTCTGTAATGTTTGACCTTTACCTGTGTTCATTTCTCAAATAGTTTGCCTTCTTTGTCCTCTGATTGGAACTCATTATATAGAAATAAATGAATTGTATTGTTAATGTACTGCATATGCTCAAACATATACTGTGCACAAGTTGTTTCAGCTTCTGCCCTCTGGTGGGCGTCAGAAAGTAGACAGCTTCAGTCCACACAACATTACGCACACAATACACACATTAAAGTAGCAATGTACATTTTATATTTATACTATATCATAGTGTAACTCAATCCTGTATATTCATTGTAAGATAGCTGAAAATAATCAAAAGATAAAGTCAAGATGAGACCTGAAAATGATTTTAGACATTCAAGGTCTGTTGTTATAATCAACCAATATATTGAATATTAAAAAAATATTATTTATGTTTACTTTTAAATGATGCATTATTAAACTTGAATAATTGATTTGAATGATTATTTAATTGATGAATTGATTATTTGATGAATAATAATTTATTTTTAAACCGAAATTAACTATACATTCTTTGTCATTCCAATAACCTGCGTGTGTGTCTATTATATTCTACATCATCTACTTGACAATATTAACATTTCATAAAAAGTTATACTTTCTACAGGACAAATATAAATTAACTGTACTTGTTCATTTATTCAAATGCCCTTGGAACTGCCGTAACGTCTTGCCACCAGACCATAATATTGTAAAAGTAACCTCTATTTAAAGGTTTTCTCTGTTTGTCTTTATGTTGCGCGTGTATCTTTGTCTCTCTTATCATCTTTGTTTAGCTGTGTGTTCCTGTTGCTTCACTTCCTATATGGTTGATCTTGCACGGTGAGTATTCATACTGAGAACTGAAGTCACATTATTTGTATGTGTTAATAAACTCAACCGATTAGCTAAACTCTCATGAGACACACAGACGCGCACACAAAATATGACCATAGTTGATATTTTACCTCTACTTGAACCATTAGACATCTCTGTCTGCGGAGTCTGACCACGTAACCGTAGATGTCGACTCTGCCCTCCGCCTCCAGACACTCCATCATGGCATCAATGCCAATGTATGTGCCTGTCCTGCCGACCCCCGCGCTGCACATGAGATAATAACATTAGGCTGATACACATCTATACATGTCTATCAGTCCCCCTGATGAGTCCCCCTGATTCAAAATGTCATCCCTTTTTGTCTTAAGTCATAAGTCATTGGAAAGATCAGGTCTGTCTGAAAATCTCTTTAAAAAATGTACTTGGTGCATTAGATTGTCTACGGTCTTTGGTCATTAGTAGGAAGAAATGTGATTTCGTCAGACTTTTTCCAATTAGAAGATTAGTTTGGCATTACTCAAGCATCCCATGTATTGTACACTTTGTGGAGAAATGGGATATTCTGTAAGGGATGTGACTGTTATATATATAGAAAATGACCAAAACAATATGCAGCATAAACAGTATAAATGATTGCAAGTATGGCATATCAGTAATGAACTTAATATTGGGAAAGAAGCACAGAATATATTAGATATGGTCTGATCATGCCTCAAAGACAAATGGAAACAATGGGGAATGGAATCACATCCAATCACAACTAGAAGTAGATTAAAAATGTTGTTTACTCTGATTATTAGAACAACGTGTAGTATCTGTTAGCTGAAGCTTGTAGGCTACTAACCTGCAGTGAACAACGATGGGGCCGCTGAAGAAATTCTTGAACGCATTGACGCGCCGCCTCAGTTTCAGGAGCAGATGTGGCTCTCCGGGGACGCCGTGGTCCGGCCAGCTCATGAACTGGATGTGAGTCACTTCCCTCTCTGAGTTCTTCTCCCTCTTCTGCAGACGCACAGGGAGGTAATGCATACATGCAAAAAGACATATATAAACACAGATTCATTCACATTTCATATTTATTGAGATAAAGACTGACAGATATACTGGCTTTCACTTACACACAGACACACATGTATACACACACACAGGCTAAAAGTAAAAAAATAAATGTCCTCTAGTTTATCCGGTGAACTCACATTAGTAAGGCTGAGATGGCGGATGGTGTAATCTGGGCAGTGGTCCTCTGAGTTCAGCTTCACAATAAACTCCTCAAAGATCTCTGCCTCGCGGTCTCGAGACGGCCAGTACTGCGCACATTTGACCTGATTTGGCAAATCAGTAAGACATCAGTAACATATTGGTACATTTTCACTATCAGCAGTATTCTCCAAGAAACAAGACCACAGTGTGGGCATGAGTGTGAATGAATATATCTGATAAAGTGTATGAGGCAGAGAAGCAGTAATCAAGTCTTACCCGGTTTCCTTCTTCACAACGCGTTACCATAACGATGATAGAGGACTGCTGCTCCCACACCATCCTCCAAAAGTCACTGACAGTCTCTTCCTTTGGCCCTACAACACACACAATATATACATAAATACTGTATATAAATGGACAAGTGCAGAAGTGTTTGTGTGATTAATTGCTTTACCTTGTGCTGCGATGTATTTTTTGGATTCCTTGTACCCCTGCAGCAGGAAAAAATGTCAATAAGGCGTGTATTGTCAGAAAGAGATCATGAGTGTGTAATTTGATGCAGCAGTAGTAGTAGAAATAGTTGTAGTATAGGATTGTTCATACATCGATGAAGCTGGCATTGATGTAGTCACAGCCTGTCTCCCCATTTCCAGTGGTCAGCTGAACACGGTTATAATCATCTGGTTCAGGACAGAAAATAAATAATTATCACAGAAGACGACTGAACGACTCCCAATGGATAAGTATTCTTGAAATTCCATTCAGAAGCTGTTTATAGTTATGTTAAAAACATAACATGCATATGTCCTATTTGAATTTACTCTTTATATTGACTTTAATATATCTTGAGTTAAAGTTAAAAAACACAACAACACAAACAATCATCTGTGAATCAAATCCTGCTCACAGATTTGCAACATTTCCCTCAACAGTTGAATAGATATTGAAGAAATCTGTCACCGTTTAAACACTATGGCAAACGAGTGTAGGCAAAGCCAGGTACGACTAAGTGATGGTTTCATGTGTTGTTGGACAGACTCACATGGCAGGATGTCCACGTAGCGATTCTTGGGGGCGTTGCACGCCTTTTTGGCCTCTTTCACGGTGTACCGCGTGAAGATTCTGGGCATGCTCTGTCAACAGAAAAAAAGAAATGTAATTTGCCAAATGATGTCTTTGTCCTGACCATGTTCAACAAACTTTCTAGGTTCAGCCTTCAACTTTTACTACCTTGACATCCAAAAATAGACAAATAAATAGAGAAAAACAATGTCCCAAAAGGTTTCAAATGTACCTGAAACTCAGCCAGGAAGAGTCTTCCCTCATCAGCAAGCTTCCTCTTGTAGGTTTCCAGCAGGACCTCTGCTGCGATCGGCTCCACTGCCAGCAGATTCTCCTCGTCGTCTACATCAGCAAACAAGCCAGAAGATAAGACACCGAAACAACGTAATACTGGATTAGTGCTTATTTGTTACTAACCCTTATTCTAAATTACAATGTACATGTGGTACTTAATTGATTTCCCCATACATTTGTCTTGAAACGTGCTTCTTCATCATATGACAAGGAATACATGTGTGCATTCAAATCTTTTTACAAACATCATGCATCATTTGAGAAAGGTAGCAGCTACATGAGACTGTTTTGAGCATGTTATTAAAGACTAAGTAAAGGAAAGTGGAAATATGAAGTCTACTCACTTGCTGTAGTAATAAGCATCATGCTTTCACCCAGATTGCTGCAAAAATAAAAAATAGAAAATAGGCTTCAAAGACTTGTTAATTAACAGTTTACAGAATGGAAAAAGAAAGCAAAGAGGATATATAGTAATATATATAGTAATATAGTAAACTATAGTAATGTTAGTTATGTCTATAATGCAATAATATCACTTTTCATTTACTGGAAATGTGACAAAATGGATTTATCAGTATAAAACCTGCAGTTGCATTTGTTTACAACAAAACAACCACAGCAATAAACCATAACCAGAATCCAGGCGAAAGTAAAAAAGACGCTGAATGAAACTCACTGGGACTGTCTGCGCCTCAGAACGTAAATCTTGTAGACGACCAGAAGCAGGGCCACAGAAGTGAGGATGATGAGGAAGACCAAAAACCCAATGACAGCTTTGTCATTATCTGTAAAATGATGGGAACATAATATCAAAGCTGTGGCATTTATGTTAAAGACACAATCTATGGTATTGAATATATTTTATAGGTCAGAACATTTATTTATTTAACAGGACAATGCAAGACGATTTGGCATGAATTAAAACACCACATACAGGAAGTGGAGACATCTTCTCCTTTGGTTTTGCCCTCGTTTTGTCCATTGGAAGCAGTCACCTGGAAACACAGAAGATCTCATCAGGAAATATAGCATTTGAAAAATAAGAGGAATAAAGTTTTGATAGTGTTTGGAAACCAAATGTTTGGCTCATACACACCTGCAGTTTGTATTTGGTTGAGTAGCTTAAATCTTTGAAATCAAACTTGCATTCGGTTTGGTTCGGAGTCTTAATCAGGACATCACCACCACTATAAAGACGTGCGATGTAATCCTTCCTAGGTCCATTGAAATCATTTGGAGGATCACAGGTTGCGTGAATCACGTTATGCTCTTGAAGATTCCAGACCAGGCTCTTAATTTCTCCAGGCACTGTAAAAAAACATATTAAGTGATATTTCAATTTGCTTAAACAGCATTTTAAACAATGATTTGCATCAGAAGTGTGTTGCTGCATTGGATGAATGGTTGTAGGGATATAAATACAAACTGTGCAAATCAAAGAAAGTTGCATTGAAAACATGTATCATTATAAATTAATTGTAAAAAGTTTTTATTCTTTAATCTTTTATGTTCTGACACGGCTGTTACAGTGTGTGTTGGGGGAAGTCTGCAGGTTGGACTTCACATGCATCACATTTATGAAATGGAAATTGCAATTTTTAAAGGAAATGACAATGAGTTATGCTAATTATATATGATAGGCAGCCGCATAGTAGTGACACGTAAATGTAATATGTACATCATGTTAAAATTGATTCAATTTGTTAAATCCTTAGTTGGGTCAGAACAGACTCAGGTCGGTAGAGTTATAGCAAAACACAATACAATAAAAAATACTGTTCTTCACTAACGACTGTAACTACAGAGTAATGTTCATTATAATGGCCTGAAAAACAATGATGAATATTGATATGCTGTCTGATTCACAGCATTTAATATCATTTGTTAAAAAAGACAGACAGAATAAGATTAGTCACATCATTTATATGATGATATTAAATAGAAGAAATTAGATAAAAACGTTAAGTACTATAACGTAATTACTATAACTTAACATTCTAAAATCATTGATTATATTAAATTGTGTGTTAATGTTCCAAATTGAAATAATGAGTGACTTTATAACGTACCTTTCAACAACATAGTATATAAACATTCATAATAGAACCAGTAATATCAGACGTCTTATAGAAGAACAAATGGCGGGCTTCGTTAAGAGAAAACGTTCCAACCTTTGGCATTAGTAGTCACTGATGTGTTGGAACGTGGTGATTGGAGGTTGAGGCTGGCTGAGAGGTGTTTTTCGGCAGTCTAATGTGGTGGTGGGTTTGAGTGAGGGTGAGGTGATTGCAGGAGGAGCAGCAGGTGGCTGTAAGAGGAGAGCATGCTAGGAGGTCACCCTACAAAATGTCTGCCAATAGTCCTACCAGATGTCGGCAATGTCAGGCTGATTTTTCCAACGCTGTTTCCAATAAAAAGGTCTAAACTTAGGCAGAAATACATTCCAGAAATACTAGTTGAATATTTTGAAGGCATTGGTGAGTTGAGGTGAGTTGGAATGCTGAGTGGAGTTGGGGTGTAAGTGTTTGATTGCTGAGACGTATGTTTTGTATTGACTATGTTTTCTTCTTTTTTTTTTTTTTTTTTGTTAGTTCCTGTCATGGTGTGGCTGTTGGTATGGATGGTTCATTTTGTGTTGTAAACTGAATGCTGAAGAGTGGAATTTTGTTCTAGTGCGTGGAGTAAGGTGTTGAATATTACATCTGTGTTCTCAGGGAAAATAATATAATATAATCAGCAAACCCATTATGACTAACGCAAGTTCATCAAAAGGTGCAACAGGTAAAAAAATGGTTTATCCTAATATAACACACTCATTAATTTTTATTTTTTTTTTGTTTTTTTTTTTTTTTTTTTTTTTTTTTTTTTTTTTTTTTTTTTTTTTTTTTTTTTTTTTTTTTTTTTTTTTGCAGCGCAGAGAGGCCTCTCGTGTAGACTGGAAAATTCATGTGAATATCTGTCACTACTTCTTTTCTCTTTTTTAGTTAGTTATCTTTGTCTTTCTTGCCTCAGTTTAAGTTGATCATTCATATGCTGCAGTCAATACTAAACTCGATGGCAGAAGTTTTTTTTACGGGGAGATTCCTGATCGATTCAGTACTGTGATAGTGTGGAAGGTTCCAATCAGGACGTTTCTATGCTCATAATCTTGCCTTTTTCTACTGTAGAATCATATATGTAAGAGACTCATAAAAGCTCGAAAACGAACTCAAATTGTCCTGTGGTATCTAACATGTTGGGTAGATAATATTCGTAATAAG